TAGGGACCAAACACTGCTCCCAGCCTGGGAAAACAACAAAAAAAAAGAGTTCAGAGCAGCATGGTAGATGCCTTAGTGTACGACTCAAAAATTACCTGAGGGCAAAAAAAAGCCGAGCGGTTCCAGCTTCCACTGTGAAATACGTGGCTGCAAGTGCAGCACGCAAGTTTTCCCCCAAATGCACCCGGTGTTGGACTTAGCAGCCAGCATGAAGGGCTTTTGGAAAAAAAAAAAAAGAATATATATCTGATTGTGCACCATATGTAGAGTCTGGTTTGGACTTCCGTTGCCTCCGTAACATGTGCAAGTGCAGGATTCATAGGAGAGAAGGATTTCAGCATGCAGTGAAAAGCCACGTGGTTTATTACTAGGCTGAAGCAATTTGCCAGCCTGGAGAGGGAACGACCCGGAAGATGAAGGTCATTCAGATCCAGAGACAAATCTCTCCTGGGACAGTGCAGGGGGATCTGCTCACCTGCCACGTACCCACTACACTAACTCCTGTTTCGGCCCCCTCCCCACTTGGCCCACACTCCCCAGTACGAACTTGTGCCCAGCAGCAACGAGACCCAGCTCACCCTCTGGAGAAGAAGAAGAAGTTCATCAGCCGCGTGATGATGGGGGAGAGCAAACCCCCATCCTTGAGGATCTTGGGCAGAAGAAAAAAAAAGGAGACAGCGCTACTTGGTATCGTACGGACGGGAAAATCCTGCCTCCCCAGAGGGTTTTTCCCATCGTCTCCCTGTATCACAGCAGTTTCCCAGCCCAGCCCTGACCCTCAAGATGTACACAAGCTCTTGGTGATGGGACAGCAGCGCTTCACGGGGTAAGAACTGGGGACATTCAGGTGCGGGGAGCCACATCCTGACCATCTCCGCTTCTCCCTGATGCCCATGAGCAGCTCGGGTGCTGTTACAGAAGCAGGAAAAGCAGGAAGCACCCGAGGCAGGTAAAACCCCAAACTCACAGAGTGGGACTTCTGCTTGAGGGGCAATTCACTACGATCAGAGGCGGGGAGCAGCTCACCT